TTTTCCATTCTCTATTAGAGTGAAAAGACAAGAGGGTTTCCCCCAGCCCATCAGCCAGAAAAACATAGAAGGTGTACTACATAAATGTGTATTTTGGATAATATCCAACACTTTCTTAAAAAAAAAAGTAAAACTTAAAATCTTTACTAAGCACAAAGATGAACATAATCAGGTTCAAAACTGAATAAATATGGAGAGCATTCTGCTATATATGTAGATAGGACTTACGCATCTGATCTCAGAGTTTTTTTCCTGCTTGAAACTTCTTTTAAAAGGTCATTCTGTTTCTTCATACTACAGGAAAAACAGATTTTTCTTTCTCTTTCATTAACAATGGCAGTACTTCCCGACAATCATACTGCTATGCTACCCAAAAAAGTAAGAATTGCCATAAGAATATATGCCTGCCAGCAATTACTGTGGTTAACAAATCTATATTTTATAAACAATTGATGACTGGCAAGAAGGTGCCAAAGATTTGCTTTAGTGTGTGTTTGTGGGGAGTTTTCTTTAGCTTTAAAAGCAGACACATACTCACAAAATCCTTTTATAACTATATAAAAAGGCACAAACTCTATGCTATTTTTTCTGTTTCTAACCTCCAACTGCCTATAATGTTCTCCTACTATTATTAAATCAATACCATCTTCTTTGGGGAGGAAATAACAGTTTAAGGAAAATACATTTTAATACAAACCAAACACCACCTGAAACACAAAAGCCTCCTGCCTTTTCTGTCGGCTCTTTCTCAGATGCACGCCATCTTTCCTGCTAATGCTCTTTAAGTTAAACATATTCTCGCTTCTTATGGGGTGCTTGTTTTGAGCCAAGAAAAAAACAGCTCTGTAGGATTTTTTCTGACAGAGGAAAGCTTATTTCTTCAAAGGAAGAAAGGAAGAAACAACTACAAAAGCTGTTTTGCTTCAGCTGGTAAAACAAGATCTAAGGACATGGCAACAGAATGCCTTCAGCTCAGAGGCAGAGACTGCTTTCTTCACAATATTCTCTGGAGCTCATTAGTATATTGTTTTTTCGCAATATGTTAGCTCCTTTTCCCCAGCCTTTTTGGAAACCATTTCAGTTTTAAAACTTCAAGGAGCACCATCTTGTTTGCAGTTTACCAACACATGGTCTGCAAAAATTGAGGCGAAGGAAAATGGCATCCTATAAACAGACTTCAATTATGCATCCTACTTAATTGTGTGATGGCAGGTCAGTGTCATTGCAGCCAACATTATTTGTTCAGTTTGTTTTTCAATAGCAACTGTTCGCATCTGTATTTCCCAAATCTAAACATAACCCAGCATGCTTTTAGCCTTCTTTCTCTTGCAGTTTGGGATGGGGGAGAACATGAAAAATGCATATATTTGAAGCAATCCCCTATTCCAGTGTTTCTCAACTTTCCTAATGCCATGACCTCTTAATACAATTACTCATGTTGTGGCGATCCCCAACCATAGAATTATTTTCATTGCTACTTCATAACTGTAATTTTGCTACTGTTATGAATCATAATGTAAATATCTGATATGAAGAATGTATTCACTTGACCAAATTTGGCACAAATACCCGATACGCCCAAATTTGAATACTGGTGGGTTTGGAGGGATTGATTTTGTCATTTGGGAGTTGTAGTTGCTGGGATTTATAGTCTACCTACAATCAAAGATCATTCTAAATTCCACCAATGATGGAATTGAACCAAACTTGGCACACAGGACTCCCATGACTAACAGAAAATACTGGGTGGGTTTGGTGGGCATTGACCTTGAGTTTTTGAGTTGTAGTTCACCTACATCCAGAGAGCATTGTGGACTCAAACTATGATGGACCTGGACCAAACTTGACACAAATACTCAATATACACAAATGTGAACACTGGTGGAATTTGGAGAAAAGAGACCTTGACATTTGGGAGTTTTAGTTGCTTGGATTTATAGTTCACCTACAATCAAAGATCATTCTGTGCTCCACCAATGATGCAATTGAACCAAACTTGGCACACAGAACTCCCATGACCAACAGAAAATACTCGGCAGGTTTGATGGGCATTGACATTGAGTTTTGGAGTTGTAGTTCACCTACATCCAGAGAGCACTGTGGACTCAAACAATGATGGATATGGGCCAAACTTGGCACGAATACTCAATATACACAAATATGAATACTGGTGGAGTTTGGAGAAAATAGACCTTGACATTTGGGAGTTGTAGTTGCTTGGATTTATAGTTCACCTACTATCAAAGAGCATTCTGAACACCACCAATGATAGAATTGGGCCAAACTTCCCACACAGAAACCCCCTGCCTTGAAGGAACTTGCTGGTGCAAGCTTCCCTTCAACCTCACATGCTCCCCTTTGCCCACACATATGCACCACGCTGCCATGTGCTGAGCACACCTGCTCTTCCCTCCCCACTTGGACTATCAGAAACAGCCCTCCCCCTTGACTGATAGGCCAGCCAATTGCAGCAGAGGAGGGCTTTTGGTGGGAAGATTCGCCACCCGTTTCCAAAAAGGAAGAGGATAGTTTTCTCTGCCAAAGGGGTTCCTAAAATGATCAGAAATTTATGTTTCCTGATGGTCTTTGGTGACCCATCTGAAACCTCCTTGTAACCTCCCACCCCAGGGTCCTGACTCCCAGGTTGAGAAACGCTGCCCTATTCAATGGGGAAATGCATACATTTGAAGCAATCCCCTATTCAATGTGGGGGAAATATTGAAAAAGTATATTTTAAGAAGAGTCACAAAACCTACCCAACAACGTGAGTTATTATTTTGTTAAATATGCATGAACATACACATGGAACATACACACTCCCATTAAGATTGGGAAAAATGTATTTTGCAATCTCATGTGAATATAGGGTGAAATGAACCAAACAGTGGGCAAATAAGATCCTGAGTGACATGCAACTTGACAGACTTGTTGAACGGTGTCCGATTTGTGTGATGCTGCATTTGTCATATGAAAGCAGCTTTAAAGTGGATCTACAAGAACCAGATCAATTTAGAACACAGAATTGGAAGAGACCATGAGGGTCAGGCAGTCTTAACTTCCTGCCATGCCGGAAAAACATAATCAAAATCAACATATGACAACTATGTGTTTACTTGGAGCTAACATAAGCATCTAGTATTTCTGATCCATTCTTTAGTCCAAACTAGATCTATGGTTGATACTAGTCAAAATGTCTACATGGTGCTTCTTCTCTCCTTAACATCTACTGTTAGGTACTTCCCATGATGAATCGTTTTGCACTAAAATAACACAGTCTCTGGATTGTAAAAGATTTTTCAGTATAGTTATATATTATACATTAAAAGGTCACTGACATCTAATACTGGCTTCAATAGATCTTATAACATCATGTTATAAACAGATCAAATCATTTAGGAATTCTTAAAATTAACAGTTTCCTGACATTGATTCAGAATGTCCAGTTCATTCGGACACACCTCATTGCTGGACATAGTGGAAGGAAGGATAATCACAGTTTGTCCAGGTAATCCCTTTAACTTTTTCTTCATGGTCATAACCGCTAGAAATTTCATATTCCATATTCAATAACAATATATGTGGCTAATCTACATGAGTACAGACCTTTTCTGCATGGCAGGGGGTTGGACTAGATGGCCCATGTGGTCTCTTATTCTATGATTCTTGCAAAATGATACATTTCTTTTGGCACTAAACTTTAAGCTTTGAGACTCATGTGCATATATCAGCAAACTAACCAGTGGTTCTCAACCTTTGTAATGCTTTGACCCCCTAATCCAGTTCCTCATGTTGTGGTGACCCCAAACCATAACATTATTTTTGTTGCTACTCATAACTCTAATTTTGCTACTATTACGAATAGTAATGTAAATATCAGATATGTAGGATGTATTTTCATTCCCTGGACCAAATTTGGCACAAATACCTGATATGTCCAAATTTGAATGCTGGGTGGGTTGGAGGGTGTTGATTTTCTCATTTGGGAGTTGTAGTTGCTGGGATTTATAGTTCACCTATGATCAAAGAGCATTCTAAACTCCACCAGCAATGAAATTGTACCAAATTTGGCACATAGAACTCCCATGACAAACACAAAATACTGGAAGTGTTTGGTGGGCATTGGCCTTGAGATTTGGAGTTGTAGTTCACCTACATCCTGAGAGGACTCAAACAATGATGGATCTGGATCAATCTTGGCACGGAGACTCAATATGCCTGGATGTCAACACAGGTGGAGTTTGGGGGAAAAGACCTTGACTTTTTGGAGTTGTAGTTGCTAAGATTTATAGTTCACCTACAATCAAAGAGCATTCTGAACCCCACCAACATTAGAATTGGGACAATCTACCCACACAGAACCCTGAAGACCAACAGAAAATACTGTCCTTTTTGGATGGTCTTTGGCGACCCCTTTGACACCCCTTGTGCCCCCCCCCAGGGGTCCTGACCCTCCAATTTGAGAAACTCTGGTTTAGACTAACCTTTATTCTGTTGTATCAGTTTTTTGTATGAAAGGAATTGCTTTTACAAGGAAGAACATCCATGTATGAGAATATGGAATTGTTATAATTGTTAATATGAAATTGTCAGAATACCTTCATTTAATGTTACCCTTTTTTGTTTACTAGTCAACCTAAAGAACCAAAGGTCCAGCCTTTCAGTTTACAAAATCTTCCCTGCTGCATACTTGCCACATGTAGGCAAGCCAAATGGTTATTTTTATTTGTTTATTATTCAAAGCACCCCACTTATTAAGAACAGCCACATTAGCTCTTTAGATCCACTGAATATAATGCCCATCAGCTCTAGCCTGCATAACCAATGGTTATCGGTGATGGAAACTACTCCAAAATATTTGTAAAGTATCAACTTAGGGAAGGCTGGTGCAGGATGAAAACATTAATGCTTTGCATCACCATTTATCATCTCCGATATATAATATGTCCAACAGATATATTTTCTGACTTAGTTTCCAACATTATGGAAAATAAACCGACCAGTAGTCTTAAAATATTTATTAATTAAAAAAAAGTTAAAATATTTGTTTATACAAAGATGAGACTAATCTCATGCAAACTCTTCGCATACAATAAAAATAACTCAAATTTTAGTAGGATGGGTTTACAAAATAACTTCTTTATAGTAGCTTTTAATAGAGAAGTGCTGCTCTTTTCGGTGTGCTTGGACCATCATCCAGAATAATTTACTTACAAAGTATTTGTTAAAAAGATTTATACATTGTTCTACAGGAAACTATGCCAAGATTTTCACACTCTTCACTATGGTTAACAGTTAATACCCTATTACTACTACTACTCAGAAAACTAGACTTAGACCTATGAACATTGAGTAATGAGATCCTCAGTACCACTGAACCTTTTGAACTGTTAATGTACAAAGCTGCCCAAACATTGTTGTGCAGGTCAGTCCTAAGCATAGTCACTAAGAAGTAATTTTCCATGAGTTTAATGGGTCCTTATTTCTGAGTAAGTGTGCATAGGAGGACTGCCTTGTATATATTTTTTCTTTAAATGGTTAAAAAAAGTATCGAGGTTATTATGGATGACATCTGCTTCTGCTTAATTACAAATCACATTGGATTTCAAATTTGTGTATATTACAAGGAATTTGCATAATTAAAACAATTAAGGGATTGACATATCATGGTAATTAAAAATGCATCAAACTCGAATGTTGTACAAAAAAGAGCTTCAATATGAAACATTAAGTCTCTGAGAATGAAATATCCTACAGGTTCCTGCAGTATAGCCTTGGACGTACTGTCACAGAATTTTCCTGAACAGTGGCGGTTCTTGGGGTTATCTGGATTTTCCTGAAAGTGCTGGGATTTGAAACTCAAAAAGATGACATAAAATGCATGCCATTCCTTTCCTCCACTGTAGACGGCACAGTATTTGACTCCCCTTTGTATGGCAGATTTCCTTTTTATCTCATTTTCCGTAGCCTTATCCTATTCTCTTTGTCCCTCTTTTTAAGGATAAGGATGAACTGGTTGAAAAAATGCTCTTGATCTTTCTTCTTCTGAACAAGTCGAAATCGTTGATCTGTACCATATTTCTCTGCAAATTCTTTAAACGTTGTTCTGGAAGTGAGGGAGAAAGACAGAAAAGAAATAATCAAAGAGAAAATGCATCATCACAAAACTCTAGTTACCAATATACTTTCATTTTTTAGTCCTTAATTATATATGTTTCTGTTTTTCCTATGATATTTTTCTGATGAAATAACTGTTACTGCATATATTGTCAGCTGCAATGATGGAAAATGAAAGACTAAAATAAAGATTTCAAATGCTCATTGATCTTCTTTGCTTCTCATCCCAAATGAACCTGCCCCCCAACATAGCCTATCATATCAATTTCAGGAACCTTCGTAAATAATTATGTCATGTAAAGGAATTAAATGGGATTCTCAAAAATTAAGACAATACATTTTCCTTAGCTTAATTTGGCAGAATGTGACCTGGTTATTTCAGGAGTACAATCCTATGCATGTCTAGTCAGTAGGACTTACCTCTGGGTCAATAGGACAGCAGTTTATGTTGGATTTATTTACTTTCACGGGGCTGTAAAGACACTTTGGTCAGGCTTAGCAAAGTGACATGTCTTTTGGCTTCTAATTGAAAAATAGTAAGCATGGAATTTTTTTCCCATGGAGCTATCAAAAAAGCATTTCAGCAGCTCCAGATATAGATCTATAGGAAAAGTGACTGAATGTTGATGTAATGAGATCCTCATTATGATGGGTTTCATCATAGATTCAGGCTTATTCCAGAAATTAGGAAGGATTTGAAGGCTCAGCATGAATTTTATGCCTTCTTGATTGGAATGTCTATTTTGCAGATATCTCCCAGATGGGATTTATTTGTGTGAGCATTGTTAAGCCCAGGTTTGCCCCAGGGAGTGATGCATTTAATATCTCGGCTTCCCCCCTGTTGTGGTGGCTTTTCAGATATGAGCTGAGAGATTGACTAATTCCTCCACTGATTTCTTGTGTGATAACATGGATGAACTTCAGATCATCACTCTATAATCTCCAGGTCCCTAGAGAAATGCATTGGATTAGGGCATTTACCTTGCAGTGTCTCTGTTATTTTGTGTATTGTGCTATGTGTGGCTGGCATGGGGAACAGACAATCTGATGCTTTTCCTCACCAACAAATGGAAGACTTGAGAGAATTTTCTCTGTAAGCAAATTCCTGTATATCTGCGAAATCTTGGAGGGTTGAGGTTGCTCAAATCATTGATCTATTGATAGTCTCTAGCACTAGGATTTCTTACAGAAAGGATGTTCATGAGTTTGAACATATTAGATTGGTGAATGGGCTTGCCTCATTCCAGTTGACCATATTCCACAATAATGTGTTTCTTGCCTGAAATATACCAAGATTAGGTTGTCTGCATTGACATTTGTCTCAATTGTTCAGGGTTATAAGGATATAATGATATCACTACCAATTTTAGAATACATAATGTTGCATGGTCCTGAGAAAAGGACAGAGTGGTAAATAGGTGGGAATCTAGGTCCTTAGAGGTCTAGAGGACATGTGGCCTTTCATTTGTACATCTGGATATTAGGCTGTCCTTTTTCATGCTGCAGGATTCACACATTCTTTAGGACTTGTGTGAGAGTAAATTGGTTACATCAGCAAAAAGAAAATGCCTCAGGTCGAGCATTTGGAGAGTTAGTTTTGGTCAAGAGAGCATGCAATTGCACTTGATACAATTTGATTGGAGAAACTGGTTGTTTTAACCAGTTCTAGAACTGGTTGTGCAACCAGTATAACAACTATAGGCTTAAAAAGTTCTGCAACTGAAAATTGGAAGCTGAATTGGAATGTTACCACCCACAAAAAGCTTAGAGCTAGAAGTTCAAAAAAAATTGACATCATTTGCACTAGGATGATTATGCAGTTAGATTTTGTGTTAGTGCTTATAATCACGGCAACATCAGAACCGAAAATATAGTCTGCATAGCCTGGGAAGCTTCAACATTTTACATTTTTCATGGTTGGTCTTCATTCTCTGTAATATGAACCTCCAATTATAATAAGAAAACTGTCTGGATTATTTATAAATGACAGACCCATAAATAAGAATTGTGTGTTTTACTGTTGGCTTCTCAGCAGCATTCATGAAAAAGAGACTAATATGAGAAGCAAAAAAGGAGCAACTTAAGAGCTTGTGTTTGTAGCACTGAGCTAATGATACAAACTTTTTGTATATAAAATGGGTTATGTCAAACAATCAGCAAATAAAAGATTTTGCTGATCGAGCATCATCATTACAACACAAAAAATAAAAGCACAGTTATTGTACTTGAGCATACTATAAATACTAATCACATCTGCAACTTGATCCTTAACTGAAAAGCACAATAAAGTATTGTGATGGATTTTTAACTGCTAAGGCTATTTTATGCAATTAGACAACAAATATATATCAGCTTAGGAACTTTAGCAAATGACTGCAAATTAGTGGTTGGTAAACATATTGGTCCTACTACATGGAGTACATATTAAATATATACAAATAGAGTGGATAAAATTTAGATTTTTCTTTTAAATTAGAGAAGTAGGATATCAAAGGATAGAACTGAGAAATAGAAGTGACTAGCAGTGAACCGATCTGACCTAAGTATGGCCTAAACTGGGTGAAATGGGGGCAGGAAGACTGGTTTCTTCATCTCCCAAATCAAGGTGCAGCTCATTGCAGTGCCTTCAAATGTTTACTGAATGCATGGCTGTCTAATTGTTTTGTGCAAATAGAACCATAGTACATTCCTTGAGAGCTGTTTACAGTGACAAATGTACAATAGAAAAATCTAGATACAAAAGATAGCACACCAAGCAATTGGATGAACTAGAACGGTTCTCCCAGCTAACCTACTCCTTCTTGAAGACAATATTTGTGAGGAAGCATTAAAACTGAAAGTAAACCACTTGAAGACCTTAAAACTTCTTTCTGTTGCAGGTATACACTATACTTTGGTGCATGTGTCTTTGTTTGATGCATATGTCAAGGCACAAGCTATTCCTGTCTGAAAACTATTCGTGATAGCAGGGCTTCCTCCTGTTTGCTGAAATAACAAACTTTGATGAACTGCATGATGAGCATTGGACTGGTCTTGGTGACCTGGTTTTTGGGGATCACTAAACCATGAAAGCCACCCATTGATCTTAGGAAAAATATGATCTCTGTCCAAATTCATAGGATCTCTGTCCAAATTCATGACTGGAATTGGCCAACGAAGTAGAATATCTCAAGATCTTTTAAGAAAAGGTAGGTTATTAATGTAACAAAGTATTCATCTATTAATTTAAGTACACATCTGTATTTTATAGTCTGTAGGTTTCACTTAAGTAAAATTCAGTTCTAACCAACATCTTCCTTCGGAAAGTTCTCAGATAGAATTTATGTCAGAAAGCAACTCCATACCTTGGTGATAATTTAGATTCTTCCAGCAGCTTTTTAAACTCCTCTTTGGCTAGTAGTAGCTTGTTTTTCTTTTCCTTGTATTCTTCTCTGATTCGTGTTTTGACAAATTGCTCGAATATCTTAAGTAGAGAAGGGTGGAGAGAGAACATAGCATGAAACATTATTAAATCAGTTACCAGTTAAATATACTCTGGTTAGTAATTCATCGTGTTTTTCCCCTAAAACATAATAGAAAGAATGAAGACGCTCATGGAAATTTCTGTGAGCAACATATCCTTAGGAAGTGAGATGCATGTGGCAATTCAAAGGGAAACAATTTGAGTAAGATTGGGAGAAATGTGGCCCTCCAAAAATTGTTGGATTGCTTTTAATTGTAATGGTTCTTCTTGTTGCAATGGGTAGGGCACAGCATAGCTGGGAAATCATGAACTTTGGGGGGGGGGGGGAATTGATTTCCCAGTCCTTTACTCAATGATTACCTTCTCTGATGTCTTGTGTGCATGTTGAGCAGTACCATTATATCATGCAATGCATCTTTGTATTTTCTTCTGTCTTTTGGATCTACAGAATTATTGCTAAAAGTGCAATCTTTACTCATTGGATCAGGGAAAGTACCGGTAGTTTGGCTTATGTTAGTTTTGGTGATGATATCAGACATCTGTTACTTTAAAATAGGGAGAGGTTACTGTGACAGCTCCCAGGAGTAACTGCCTGCCCTAGACCATAGCAATTGCAAATATATTTTTTTTTTTTAAAAATTAAGTAATTTATTTTGAGAAGCGGTTTTATGTTGGGAATAAAATAATAAATAATGGCTGATATTGTACATCAGCCACTTAGTTAAGTATCCTCTTAACAAAGTAGGATATCCTGGCACTCCTTCCCCAAACCTGACTTGGTAACTGCTCCTGCAAATGAAAGGAGTCTGTCCTCCCCTTGATCAGAGCACAGCAGGCTGATGTTTCCACTCAACCCTTGTAAGCCCTCTTCATTGTGACAGTCAGAAGCACAATTCCTCCAAACACTTTAGATTGCTTTCAGTTGGCTGCATCCCAATCAACTGGATCAACAGACCCTAATCAGTCAGAATCAAAGGGCCCATCCAGACAGGTCCAAAAACCAAACCCTGTCTCAGTCTTTACCAGAGGGATCCAAATGATGCATCCAGTAAAAATGAATTAATTTAGAACAACCAAGGTTTCCTTGGCTTATTATGAATTAATTTGACACCCCATTCAGTTTGGGCCTTCCTGAAATGCTTGGGACTAACGGGGTGCTGCCAACCTAGCAGTTTGAAAACATGCAAATGTGAGTAGACCAATAGGTACCACTCCGGCGGGAAGGTAACAGTGTTCCATGCAGTAATGCTGTCCACATGACCTTGGAGGTGTCTACAGACAATACTGGCTCTTTGGCTTAGAAATGGAGATGAGTACCACACCTCAGAGTCAGACACGACTGGACTTAATGTCAGGGGAAAACCTTTACCCTAATGGGGTACTGAACTTTTTGGGACACAGCCATCTCGCTTCTTCAGGCTTCCAAAAGCCCCAAAGAGCGGGATGGCAGCCCCCTCCCCTTCCAGCACCCATCTCCTCCCCCAAAACTTAACCCACAAGTTTGCTAGCCATGGAGGGCCTCTCCAGAGAACTGTGGAGTCACTTTATAATGACACTGGAGGAGCAAGGGTGGAATTTTCCCTCTTTTTGCCCCTCTTTTCCAGTGCCATTTTGAAGCAACTCCACAGCTCTCTGGAGAGGCCCTTCGTGCCTGGCAAGTCCATGGTGTACGTTTTGGGGGAGAGGATGGGGAGCTGGAAGATGGCTGGATCCCTCCCGGGTCAACCAAAGGTTGACCTGGGATGGTATGTAACCAACCTGAGAAGGAAATCCTGGAAGGGGGTGGGGACTACAACGTGGACAAACCCGGGTTAGTTTAATCTGGCTTCCCTGCTTTGTCCTGAAACCATTTGTGTTTACCTGAGGCATTGTCTGGACACCCCTCTTAAAGAAGTGGGAGCTCCTGCTTATAAGGGGCTGTATGGATGCACCCTGAGAAGTAAAGATCTGCTTCGATAAGCTTGGGTGGAGGGCACATTTGGCCCAAGGGATGGTCTTTTGTGCACATTACTTTTAAAAATGGGTCCTACTCACAGGGATTCACTACCTTTTCTGCTGCTGTGCTGCCACCCATGAACCCTTGTAATAGTTCTCCAATAATATAAGAGTAATATAATATCCCATTGTCCAGTCTTACTCAGTAGATAGTGTATATAGCAGCCGGCCTGTGTGAAGTTTTGTCTTAAGAAATGAATGGGTAAGGAAACAAATATTTTGTTCCTGTAGTTTATGCATACCCTATATCTGCTTGACTATACACCTACACTGTGGAAATAATGTAGCCTGACACCTCTTTAATTCTCATGGCTCAGTGCTATGGAATCATGGGGGATTCATAGTTTTACAAGATCCTTTGTTTTCTTAGTGAAAAGAATGCTGATGCTTTACCATACTATAAATTTCAGGATTTCATAGCACTGAGACATGGCGGTTAAAGTGGTGTCAAACTGCATTAATTCTATAGTGTAGATGCATTCCCAGGGGATGGGGAGACCTGAAATAGATGCTGTCATTTGAATAATAGAGTACCGCGCTCAATGAGTCATATTTCACCTTATATATTCATAAAGGGACTTCAGCAAATCTCTGGTAGGTATGTAAATGAGGCAGTTGTGTACTTCTTGATCATACCTAACCATAATTGAATTGACAGGTAATATCAGACTACAAAACCAAATTGCTTTCATAAAGACCATTTTTGTTCCGTGTGCCTTTGTACTCATTGTGTATGATCCCCAAGGCTCACGATATTATTCCTTTTATATCTGTAGAGTAATCTTTGTTAATCTGCTGTGACCTTTCCATTGTAATTGATGTGTGAGATGAAGACAAAATGCCAGTAACACAAGAGAGAAAGTTCAATTCACAATCTAATTTGATCCACTTAGTTCCAGTATATCTGCCTTCTTGTGGAGATGCTGGAGAGGAATCAGCTGGATGGTTGTCCTAACTAATGTGAACTATATGCTTTTGGACAGGAAAAGAATCTGATGTGTGTGCTTTGCAGCAAATAACCTAATGTTCTAGCTAATTAGAGGTTAAAAGTACAGCACGGATGCTATTGTGAAGTGTTCAAACCATGGACTGAAACCATAACGAAGCAGCTTCCTGAATAATTGCATCACCACAATTTGCTTGACTCATACACTTGCATGATGAATTGAAAAACCCATTGGCCTAGAAGACTAATTGCAAAAAATCATCAAAGTGACTCAAAAGAGCATATTTTCAGAAACAGCATTTATGAAGGAGAATAATAATTTGATAGGAAGGTTAAGGGGGAGAGCATGTGATGGTGAACAGAAGGTCCCAGACACAATCCAAACTGAATTTGGGGGAAAAAAGTATGAAATCCTGATTACCTCAGGCTTACTTGTGCAGATAGAAATGAGATAGCTAGACCAACTGACGAACCTGATATAATGTAGCTTTCTGTGCTTACAAAATACACATTTAATGAAGAAAGTTATATAGAAGGGAAATCCTCTAAAGATGACTGGAATTGGCCAATGAAGGAGAAATACACCTTCACTATTCAGGGATATAGATTGATATGGTCCCAAACCCCAAGACCTTAGACCAGTTGCTTTGCAAAGACATGGCTCCTAGTATATTTTCCAGCCAGTATGGTCAGTGGACATTGTAATCTAACCAAGTAACTTTTCCAAGGTCTGCAATAAAATGAATGTGACTCTGCAAGACAGGAACATGTGATAATTTGATGCTCAGAAGCATACATTTATATTTTGTACCAGCAGATTAGATGTACCAGGCTAATGAGTTCTGATGGGCTATTGTCTCTAGCTGTCTCTCCTGTTGGTGGACAGGAAAAGAGATTTAAAGATGGACTCAAAGCCAACCTTAAAAACTCTGGCATAGATACTGAGAACTGGGAAGCCCTGGCCTTTGAGCGCTCCAGCTGGAGCTCAGCTGTGACCAGCAGTGCTGCAGAATTTGAAGAGGCACAAATGGAGGGTGAAAAAGAGAAACGTGCCAAGAGGAAGGTGCGTCAAGCCAACCCCGGCCGAGACCGCCTCCCACCTGGAAACCAATGCCCTCACTGTGGGAGAAGATGCAGGTCAAGAATAGGGCTCCACAGCCACCTAAGAACCCACCCCCAGGACACCGAATTTGGAGGACCATCATCCCCGGACTACGAGGGATCGCCTCAGTAAGTAAGTAAGTAAAGTAAGTGTCTCTAGCTAGATTTCAAAGTCTACTGCAAAGGCATTGTTAATACATTGCGCTAGTTCTTATTACCCAATTATCTATCTAGGAACAGATTATCAGTTTTGGGGATTTTACAGAGATCTGCGTTTGATACAAATGCCTACTCCCCCCCCCCAAAAAAAAAAGATAAAAGGTTTTTTCCGGCATTAAGTCTAGTCATATCCGACTCAGAGGGTGGTGCTCATCTCAATTTCTAAGCAGAAGAGCCGGCATTGTCTGTAGACACCTGCAAGGTCATGTGGCCAGCATGACTGCATGAAGCACTGTTACCTTCCTGTAGAAGCAGTACCTATTGATCTATTCACACTTGTATGTTTTTGAACTGTATGTTTCCTAGCTCAGTTCTAGTTCCTAGAACAGCAATAAAAGATCTATTTTTTGATAGTGTAACCAATATTTATAGTAATTATTTTTACCAAAACTGTATTTTGTAGAAAAAAAACCATTCGGTAGATCTTACTCCCCACCTTTTCTCAGAGTGCCAAGGAGTAATATGAGGCACATTTAAAAGTTGCAGGAAACAGGTTTTCATGTGATCAAAAATGGCAGGACACATTGAGTTAAAATTAATAAATGGTTCATTCTCCCACTATCTGAGTAATGCTATTTCAAGACATAAAAGTTTGCCCATTTCATTTATCTCTTTGCTGTCAGGATTGTGGGCTGGGATGATACCAATCTGTTGGGACATAATGATCAATAAATAATTGCAAAGTGAAAAAGCAGAAGGAGAGTTTGTGTTTAATCAAAAGAAGCCATGAAAGGGCTCTGCTTAGTCATTTGCTTTGCTAGCAAGAAAATCCTCTGAAAGCTCATAGCTGTCTTGCTTATAAATCTGAAAACATGCAAGAAAAATACAGGAGACGGCTTCTTTTTATTTGTAAAAAGGATTCCGAAATGCAAAGAGTGGTAAACTCGCACATTTCAAACCCCTTATTTACTTGGGAAAAAATAACAAATGGTCCATAATCTGTCAAACAATAAGATAGGAATAGAAATTCTCAGAATTTCTAGCAGTGAGATAACATTTAAATATTAAAATATTCTTTCAAGATAATATTAAGGGTTTGAATATAAGCCTATTTTTAGAATGTGGGATTCAAGAGATTCCTCTTCTTTTAACTATAAGAATGAAGCCACATAGCTTTTCTTTTCTTTTCTTTTTTCATGTCAGGAGCGACTTGAGAAACTGCAAGTTGCTTCTGGAGTGAAATAATTGGCTGTCTGCAAGGATGGTGCCCAGGAGACACCTGGATGTTTTACCATCCCTGAGGGAGTCTTCTTCTCTCATGCCCCTGCATGAAAATCCGAAGCTGACAGATGGGAGCTCACCCCACTTACCAAGGAGCCCCTGGCTGGCAGGACTGAAGACCGACAAGTCACAGGTTTGAATCCAGGGAGAGAGCAGATGAGCTCCCCCTATCAGCTCCAGCTCCCCATGCGGGGACATGAGAGAAACCACCCACAAGGACGGTAAAACATGAAAACATCCCCTGGGCAACATCCTCGCAGATGGCCAATTCTCTCACACCAGAAGCAACTTTCAGTTTCTCAAGTCGCTCCTGACATGAAAAAAAGAAGAAAAAAACCCACTTCCCAGATTTGAACTGCTGACCCATTTAACCCATTGCGCCACAGGGGCCTCCATAAGCCACATACTTTAAAGACATGTTGGGCACTTCAGTACACAAGATTACTCTATCTTAGCATGCAAAACTACTGTTATGGGTTCAAGTTAATCATGTATCATCAATTCTTGGTATGGTAACCAATGTTGACAGTGCTCATTCATTGAATCTATGTCCACATCTTTTTGGAAATCCTTCCAGCACCTCATAAACCAACTAAACATTCTTTAACAGCTTCCACATTCCCATTCGGTTTCCACTTCTACACTGTCATATAATCCATATTATCAAAATAGATAATCCACATTATTATCTTTGAAGTGATTCTATGCATCTACACTGCCATATAATCCAGTTCAAAGCAGATAATCTGGATTTTATATGGCAGTGTGGAAGGTGCCTTAGTCTTCTGATCTTCATCTCAATATATGAACTATAGATGCTGGAAAAATATGATGTCATGGGCTTCACATTAACTCCATTATAGTCTAGAACCCAGGTACCCAAATTTATTATCTTGTTTCATATAATAAGCAAATTATATTCTGCATTTTCTAGAAAATGTCTCCCCATCCACCATTCAAATTCTAGAGAATTCTGGATGCCTGCAACAGATGAGGCGAAATGTCAGGAGAGAATGCTTCTAGAACATGGCCATACAGTCCGAAAAACCTATAACAATCTTGAGAAATCAATCTTTAGAAATCCTACAAAAATAAAGCATCTCAATTCACCTATGACAATTTAGCTAAACTAGCTTTCTGTAAGATTGTTCCCATACCTATTTTTAACTTCTTACACAGCGGCTGTCTGAAGGTAAGACTTACAAAAGGTAATGGCATTAATCCAGCAATATATATCTTTCCAATTGATCACAAGAACAACATTTATAACATTTCGTAAGAGGTCTTCATTTGATATTAGCTTTTTTTTCCTTCCATAACTATGAACACAACTTTAATCTTTATAAGGAGAAGGTGAAAATTGCTTTGCGTAGTCATTTCCCTTAACGTATGCAATATATCCCGCAAATGAGGCCCATGTCACCAATGTTTCAAAGCTAATATCTATAGTATAGGCTTTATCGACTCTTCATTAAGTAATTTTACTATATCATGTACAAGCTTGATAAATGAAAGGCATAATAAAGTTTGATTGGTTAAAGCAAGGTCTATGCTGTGCCCTTGTGCTTGAATTACTGAAGAGAAACAGAGTGTTCCCTTTGCTTCAGAAAGTCTTCTTCTAAGTAGATCATTTATTCAGTTCTGAAATTCTTACAACTGTACCCTAAAATGCTACCCATCTTTGCCAAAGGCCAACACATTTTGGTGATTTCTTACTGCAATTTTTGCATTACCTGCAACTTTTGTATTACTTTTAAGAATGTCAATGGGCACAAAGAGGTCTGAATTTACAGAAGATGTTGAATCAAAACAGATCCTTCTTCTCACACAAGAAGCCTTCAACGTCTAGTAGAATCTCATTTGGGAATAGAAGAGCGTCTTTGGATCTCTCATGTTTTGTCAAGGAACAGTCACAAGCTCTCACTTGCAATAGCTTTACATAACTTATCCCTTTATTCCAAGACCTCCTAAACATAAGGTGAACATATTTTAAATAATAACATTTCCAGCTAATAGGCACTAGGCAAAAGGAAGGGAGTATACCTTTAACACTTCAAATGCCTTATTTAAAAATTTGACCACCAACAGAAGTGAACTTAAATGTTCAAACTTTAAACACCTGTAGTAGAAAAATTTGCAGAATCTTTGTGAGGAAAAAATGAAGGGAATGCTACATGAATATAATTCTGCTTTGAGCTTTTGAATGTTCTATGAGTTTCCTCTGACCTTGTCATATACCATGATAAAAGGTAAAGGTAATGGTTTTCCCCTGGTATTAAGTCCAGTCGTGTCCGACTCTGGGGGTTGGTGCTCATCTCCATTTATAAGCCGAAGAGCCGGCGTTGTCCGTAGACGCCTCCAAGGTCATGTGGCCAGCATGACTGCATGGAGCATCATTACCTTCCCACCAGAGCAGTACCTATTGATCTACTCACATTTGCATGTTTTCGAACTGCTAGATTGACAGAAGCTGGGGCTGATAGCAGAAGCTCAAGCCGCTCCCTGGATTCGAACCTGCAACCTTTTGGTCAACAAGTTTAGCAGCTCAGCGGTTTAACCCACTACGCCACTGGGGGTCTTGTATTCAGTGATACCTTGATTTAGGAGTTTAATTTGTTCCGTGACTGAACAAATTCTCTAATGCTCTGATCTCAAAGTGAATTTTCTTACTGAAATACATTAAATGCTATTAATTCACTCCCATTTTCTTGTTATGTGTTTATAAAAAAGAAAATGTACTTTATTAATAAATCATGTATAAATGCACATTTTCATGGAACAATAAAAAGAAACTTTACAGTAGTAGAAGCACAAAGCTGTGGCAAGGAAACACATTTGAGGCAACAAAATGTGTGTTGGCCAGTGTAACAACAAGGCAAAACCTACACATTCACATGGAACAATAAAAAAAAAAAGATCACATTTAAAATGGTAGAAGCGTAAAGTTGTGGCAAGGATGCACAAAGTGAAGAGGCAGAAGCATCATTTTCTTCGTACTGGACTCATTCCAGCCTCCCTCTCTCTCTTCATGAAGTCAAACATACCAGGAATAAAACCACATAAAATCAACTAACTCAAAGTTTCTCAAAGCAGACAAGAGCAAAGCGAACAGCAGTGTCTCAAAGTGAACAACAGCACAAGGCATGATGCACGGAGGCATGATGCATGGAGGCTGCTCCCAAGCCCTGTACTCTGGAGGTAGCACTCCCTCTGGAGCTAGCTCTTATGTCACTGCTTTTATGTCAAAGTGAAACCTGGGTCGGGCAACAGTTCTTAACTCAAAATGCTATTAAGTTGATATGCTCTTAAGTGGAGGTTCCACTGTACTACTACTACTACTACTACTACTACTAGTAATAATAATAACTTTGTTCTTATACTCTGCCACCATCTCCCCAAAGAGATTCACAGTGGCTTACAAATGGGACAAGATGTCCACAAGACATAAAACCAAAAACAATCCATAAAACAAAACATATTAAAATAGGAGCATCATAAAATACAACAGCCAAGATAAAACAGACTAGACAAAACAGAATAAAACTGATTACATTGGAGCTCCATCAGACCAGGTTCAATATAGTTTGAGGACAGGCTTGCTGCCAAAATGTAATTCCTCACCACACATATTCATTCAGTGAAGAAATCCAATCAGAAATTGCCAGTTTTGAAAGCCACTTACAAGTTTAATGGCTAGATTGCCTTGCATTAAATGTGCTTTATCAATGTGTATTTGTTGTTTACTTTTCATCTAAGCTTCCTCTCTCCCAGTTTAGCCTTACAACAAAGAAGCAGACTTTTCTGATTGCCACTTTGATGCCACATTTATCATAAATCTATTCTATACCAGAGTTTAAAAGAAAATTGTAAATTGTCTCTGAATTGAAGGATAACAATCATTCTTGAGAACTATTAAGTGGCAAGTCTTCTTTGTTGTAGCATTTACGGTGAAATGCTGCCCTGGAAAGGCTCGCTTCATATATTCTTTATTGTCATTTTGATGCCATGTGGAAACTTTAGAAACAATTATATAGGGTTTTCAAAATTTGTAATCTGAACTTTAACCTTTTAGGCCTACTGATTATTTCAACCTTTTAGACCCACTGTTGAATAAAGTTATCTGTTTCTTCCTTCATAATTCTTTATGTTGGACATGTTTGTTCTGTGATGTATTTCAGTACTGTATTTTACTATTTAATACCTGTTAGACACAAACACAGAAAACTATGGTATTGGGTAGTCAATATAAAAGCTTGAAATAAATTAACAAACTAACCTGCTTACGTTCTTCTGAGTTCAGCAGAAGATAACGTGGGTCAAATACTATTTTGTGTAGCTCTTTTTCCCATGTGGAAAATGCAGAAACCTAAAGGAATATGTGAAAGAAAGACAAAGAATTTTCTAAAGATTGGTTTCAATAAGGATGATGAAACTAGAATGGATTTAGAATTAGGCACATGCAATTAGATCAGTGGGTGAAGACCTCTAGTTAAACGCAACAACACTCTCAAATGCTATGCAAATGGTTGGGAGAACCTGTAGAATGGATATACTGTGAATCTACTGTACAGCTAATTCATGAAGGTATCCTATGCATTTTTGAAGGGAGATATTGAAATGTTACTATGGAAAAGAAGTGAAGTGCAGAGCAAGTTTGCTTCCAAAAGCTTTGTTGCACATATATAAATCTAGCTGTAAGTCAATGTTTGACCTACAGAAATGCCTGAACCAATAATAACAATATTTGATAGAGTAATAAATATGAAAAAATGGGGCACATCATTTTAGGAAATATTTCCAAATCAAACTATCTGTGAAAATGCGAGACTAAAATAGAAAATGTGTGTGTGTGTGTGTGTGTGTGTATATATATATATATTCTTTATACCAACTACATCTTTAAATCCTTTGAATCTAATGAAGTAAATTATGGTCACTGAAATCTTACTGTGTGTGTGTGTATACCAACTATATCTCCAAATCCATTGCAACGGATGAAGTAAATTGTGGCCACTGAAAGCTTATTCAGTTATAGGTAATGACCAGAGAAAGACTCCATATAGGATGCAACTGTATGTTATTACAACATGGTGAAGTGGATACCACAAAGTCATGAAGGTAGCTGAAGGTAGGAAAGCCAAACTGACCAAATCAACATTGAGTTTTGTTCCAGGGAGACAACACATAAGTGGTGGTTAATGGCTTTCATGGCAGTGCCAGTTTCTAATTCACTTTTAAATTAGCTATCCAAAATGCTGACTTTCTATCCCCAAAAGAGATTTGAATAGTTGAATCTTGAATAGTTTCTTTAAAGTTCAAATTAAAACCAGGAATGGTTTGACTGCTTCTTTATCAAGTACCACTGCACTGAATTAAGAAGACCCTAAGGGACATCCACCAGTGTTCCATTTGTAAACTGACATATCTATATAGCCAAAATATTAAAACTGAAAACAAGTTTGTAAAACAAAAGACAAAGTAGATGAGGACTGCCATGATCAACCAACAATGATCAATTCCATAACGAGTTACGCTTATTTGCCCCAAAGTAGTATTCTGATTATTATTATTTCTTGATAAAAATGCAATAATTTCTTAAATGATATCAATCATATTTTATATAGTCTTTAAATAAACACATTATACGAATTGAAATTTACATCTACATTTATTGTGAGACAGGGATGGAGTAAAATGTAAGCAAATATATATATATAGAATCGGGCTGTAGACGGATTTTAGGGTCTCGGACATAAATCACATTCATACTGCATCCTTTACACTATCTAGCCTTTTCTACAACAAATAGAGGTGATACAAAAACATTCAGTGGGGGTATATTGATAAGAAAGAAATATTAAAATAGTGGCAGGAACCAGTAGACTGTTGCAACATACTCATTATACAAGTACTGAGATTATATCATGGTTTCATAAATTACTGGAATCAAGGTAATCCGACCTTACCCCTCTTTCTAGAAGCATATCTCGAAAATGTGTAATGCGTTCTTCCAATGGAAGCATAATCTGATGTTCTGGTGCTTTCACATTTTTCTCTTCCACTTTGACCTTGTCTAGCTCAGCATTCTGAGGATCTTCGAGCCTTAAATAATGTAAGATATATGAAAGATAGGAATATATATTTACAAGCTCAGCAGCAGCACATTCAATAAAACCAGTGCATATTTCTGCACAGTGTATCTAAATGTTTTTACTAAATCTGAAGATATACACAGCTGCTGTATTTTCAGCAAAAGAAGTGGAATTTTCCCAAAGCCCTAAGATCTTATATAATATATTATATTCAATATAATGTGTGTGTGTGTGTGTGTGTGTGTGTGTGTGTGTGTGTGTGTGTGTATATATAAAGACATGAACAAACTTTTTGACCAACATAAACTTAACAATATTCCAGTGGAAGATCACAGGGGCCATCCAGTCAAACTCCCTTCTTCCATACAGCAAATACACAATCAAAGCTTCCCTAAGTGTTGAGGGAAATAGGGTTTTGGAAACAAGCAAGGTGGGGGAAAGGATCTGGGTGACAAATAATGTGAGGAAAAGGGGCTTTTAGGGTGAGGGAAACAAGGAAAAAAGGCTTTTTTGGGCAAGAGAGGCAGAGGGAGGAGCAGAAAAGAGGAAGAAAATTTATAGGGGAAGAAGGAAGGGCACTGTGGAGTACACTTTGAGAACTGTCTTAAGCAAACAGTGAGCAGGAACTGTGAACAATTTTTGTGTTCTTGATCAGCAAAATATTGCAGGAATTATTTGTTATTGCCTATTTCACTTTCAAATGATACTAAAATGGATATTGTATAGTACTGTAGTAATTGTTCCAATGCAATCAAATTGTCAATGTATATCCCTAGAGAATGGGACTGCAGATAGTAGATGGTTGAACTATCTCCAATGAAGGAGGGAATCTTCATGCATTTGGCTGAATCCTTCATGTGACCGAGAGATGGCATCACACTGAGTTCACAGTCTTTGGAACCATTCTTGTCAGCTAAAGCATCTCCCTTCAGACTCTTGATATGAATGTCAAAAGTTGGAGAATGGAGCTCACAACTATGAAGGAGGGAGACCAAATGTGCTCTCCTCATCCTCCATGTACAATCTAAATGCGTATAGGGGGATTTCTAAAGAAGGGTTGTACTGAATGTCAGATAGTGCTGAAATACTATATTTGTTTTATGGAATAGTCTTCTTCAGTCTTACCCTAAGGAAATTCCTTTCCTGTTCCAATTAGGACAGTCAGTTCTGATGGTCAATAAGTTTATTTATTTATTTTATTTATTTACTCCATTTGTATACCGCATTTATCAGCCTGAGACGGCGACTCAATGCAGTTTACAATAAAAATGGGCAACACTGACAATATATAAGACACACATACACAAACGACACACATATAGTCATCAAGTTCTGAAGCTGCATAGTTTATTTGCACAAGATTTTTCATCATAAGTTATCCAATTTGTGGACTTTGTGGGGAATGTTTTCTTAAGGCATTTCCTGCTGGTGGGAACAGGTCTTCAGAGCCAGTGAAGTTATAACATATTCTTATCTATACTGTATTTACAAACAAAAACCTCCCGGGCATGAGCTGCTGCCGTTATCGGCTTTCTATATGTTTAGTCAGGAAAGGAGGATGGAAAGTAACTAATCCTGGGATAAAATGGAAGGAGTTAGCCTAAAGTGTTTTAGCTGCCTAAATTTCATGGTTATTTCATCTTGCCAAGCCATTTGAAGGAAGAACTGGTACCCCCTCCTTTTTTAAATTCTTTGTATTTGTTTCGTTCTTGTCGAGAACAAGGCAAACAAGCATGAGGACTGCTCAATTTGTTGAACAAAAGTCATATCCACCTAAATGAGTTCTATTATTTCATATGACATACAAAGTACAGAGTTCCCTCACTTATCGTGGGTGTTACGTTCCAGGACCACCCGCGAAAAGTGAAAATCCACGAAGTAGGGATGCTATCTTAATTTTAATATTTATACATTATTTTAGTAGTTATACACTATTTTAAGTCTTTATAAGCCCTCCCCACACACTTATACATGATATAACCCCTTTCCTTTACCTTATGAACAAAATCCTTCAGTTACTTTAGTTGAGCAGCAACTTTTGGAAAGCGCTCCACTTGCATTGGGCATATATAAGAAGTGTTCACACGTGCATGCACAGTCTAGCCCTCAATCTTCCTTACCCACATCTGCTTGCGAGTCCACCCAATAAATGCCTCTGGAGCTACTTCCGGGGCAGTGGTAGTACAGTAGGTTGCACTTCGTGACCAGCAGGCTTTCCCTGCCACACCTCAGGTCTGGCCCACACTCAAGCCTCCCTTTCTGAAGTCAATTAGCCTCCCTTTCTGAGGCCCGTTGGCCTCAGAAAGGAAAAACCACAAAACAGCAAGTCCCCAAAAAGTGAACCGCAAAGTAGCGAGAGATTACTGTAATAAATTTAAAAGGGGTATTCAAATGGTCATATTGATTCTGTTGATGGATTTGCTTAACTATGGAATAATGAGACTTGTCTATGCAAAACCAAGATAATGGAGCCTTCCTAAGCTCTATTTATTCAATAGGTCTTCTCTATTAGGGATCAATACTTGGATTGAGACAATTATAGCTATGCTATGCAAATTTGCAAAGTTGGTTTCTGGAACTGGTGGCATTCCATCCAACTCTGAAGAAATCTTAGATATTGGCTTCCTCAAATAAAATAAATGCCTGCATGATCTGCATATTGATCTGGGTTGCTTCTGGTCTCTTGCCAAAAATGGAAACATTTGAGAGACATAAACTCAAAATATCTTACCATTCTTGTTTTCCAAAAAGTAGTTTAATATATCACTGTTCATAAATCATCTGTTTCAGAAATTTTCATAAAAGTGATCTAATTTTAGTGGCAAAAGCTTCCAGAACATCAAATTAAATTAATGAACTACATTAGCACTAGATTAGAAAAAAAATAACCACTGGATATAAATATGTTTTTATTCTCAAAGGGTCCTAAACTGAAATGGAAAAATGCTAAAATCAGCTTTCAGTTAATAAACAGCTTTATCTCATAAAGCAATATAAGTCCAACATATTATCTTCTTGCCATCAATAAATGCATTACATAATTTCACTTTCAAATTATACTACAACGGGTATTGTACGGTATTACAGTAGTTGTTCCAAAGGCATCAAATTGTCACTGTGCATATTATAATAGTGACTTGGATATTGTAATAGCCTTTTTCATTCTCTTCAAATTATAATATTCTGTAATATGATCTATGAAATCTTCAATCCAATTTCTCCAATTTATGGTAACCACAAAGAGTTTTTATAGTTTGTGAAATAGATGGAAATCTAGAAAGCTCTTTCACTGACAAAGGCGGCAGATGAACATGATTTTCTTTTTAATGAAGGGTTAATTAAAAACTGATTGTACAGATCCAACATTTCACAGATTTTCCAGTTTTGAACAGATAATAACTTAAGACTTTAAATTATTTAAAAAGTAAAATGAAGTAGGGAAAAATATACCATTATGCAGAATAAGCTGAGAAATGGAGGAGAGGGTAAGGAAACAATATACCTAGTTTGGGTGAAAAACAGCATGACCTTCAATCTGGCAGCACAGCATCAGTGGAAGACAGAATCAAGTTGCATTACAGGATTATTGGCAGTCTTTGGCAAAGTTTAAAAATGGGGTTGAAAGGGTTTTCTAGCCTCTGGAACAGGTTTTACAAGTGTGTGGGGAGGCAACACTGAGGTTTATCCCATTTCCACTGAAGGAAGTAGTCTCTTCAGTGGTTGTTTCCCATTTCAGACTTTATTGCACTAAGGTGGCAAGCCAGCACAGAAGCAAGACTGTCACCTATGGTGATGACATCACGTACAACCCATTGCTGGTCTCCCACCTCCCTACAACAAAGTCATCCCCAGCTTTCAGTTGTCAAAATCCATCAATAACAGTTGATTGTGTCACATCGCTGCAGCATACCCATGCATTACAAAAGTGATGTTAGGGGGCACTTTGTGCTTCTCTACTCTTTCCACTGAAAACAGTTTAATTAAATGTATTTTTATTTTTTAAAAACCTAAACTTTATGGCAATTGCAAAGTTGATTCTGCAAAAATAAAATGATAAGGAAATCTCCAGAGCAGCCACAGATTTGCAAAGTGTCACAGCAGCATGGCATTGGGATAATCATATCAGTATGTTACCACTATCCGTGCTTCCTGGAATGCCTTGATTTAAGTTATGTCTGTTTGCAAAACTGATAACTCAGTAATGGATTACTCAGTAATGGGCTACTGATTTCAAAAACAGCCCATTCCAGCTGATTGAAGGATACATTTTCCCTTTTCAACATGGCAATCTATATAGTAATCATCATAATTCGAACTGTGTAAAAAAGATACCATAGGTAGGGATGTTGTTTTTAGGAGGGGGGAGGGTATCAAGACAAGAACAATGTTGTGTGTGTTTCACATGTATTAGACATTTGTTTTTATTTGAACGCATACTGCATACAACTGTGAAAGTATCCTTAGGTCTCAGATGCTGATCTTGGAACCTTAGGTTCTGAAATACGTAGTCCCAAACCAGCAACCCTAGCTATAGGATATTGCTATTCTTTTAAAAAAAATTATTTTCATGACTTACTTATTTCTCTTTGTTTTGGTACTGCTGTCATCACTTATGTCATCTGGAGAAGAGCCATCACTTTTATCCGCTAAATGGGAAAACACATAGTTAGATAATGGCAAGCATGCCATGACCACACAATTAATGTTTGCTTATATATTTTTTTCCTTTAGAGACAACTTATTTTTAAAAAATATACCATCTTCTGACCATGAAGGATGTCTTGAAAATGTCCATACATATATACTGTCATACATACATATGAAGAATGGACTATGGTCTGATGGCTCTTGAAAGCCCATAAGTCATAGCAAATACATATTTGTAGAAGGAGTTGGGTGTGGTGACAGCCAACAGGGAGCTCTGGCGTGGGCTGGTTCATGAGATCACGAAGAGTCAGAAGTGACTGAATGAATAAACAACAGAAGTAACTTTACACCAGTGGTTCCCAAATTCTAGTCCTGAATGTATTCTGGACTTCAACTTCCAGAACCTTCAGCTACCTGGGCTAATATTGGGGATTCTAGGAGTTGAAGTCCAACAGCCCTGGACAAGCAGAATTTGTGGAACACGATTCTCTACTATCACACCATGAAAGGTTCAATAAACTCTTCTGCAACATGGCACCTACCAAAAAAGCTGAACCACATTCCTATTATCAATGTGGGAGAGTAGGAGCTTATGATCAGCTACATATTTTGGGTTCCAGATTGGAAAGCTTGTGTTAAAAGTGATGACAACCCACTCTGCAAATTATTTTTTCATTTCATTTTTTAAAAGATATATCTTTTTATTTGATACAGAATTTCAAAACAAAGATATTGCCATTCATAAAATCACTGAGTTGAAAGAGATCACAATGGCCATCCAGCTTATTTAAAAACCACCACAGAAGGAGTCTCCACCACACTCCACTACTGAACTGCTCATTGTTTCACATTCAGATAATAAAGTGTAAAATAAAACAATAAACATCATTTTATAACTTTTAAAAAGAAATTCTTATTGGCCAAGAGGGATTTGATAGAAGCATTATTCCATCAGAAGATATTTTGATTTTGATATTTTCACCCATATTCGACTGAACTATAAAACGTCTTTGTTGTTAAACTTGACACTCGGTGTAGTGATTCACAAGCATGATTGTGGCAAGTACTATTGTTTCTCAAATTTATAGGGTATCCCAAAGAAACCATTAATTCTGTTTGGGCATGGATATTAGGCAGAAAATTATGGTTGTTCTTCACAAGAAGTGTGGTGTTTATAGCTCTGCTATCTTTTTTCAGCAATTCTGAAACACTTTATCTTTTCTCCATATACAGAGAGATGGATGACCTAAGCACAGACTGAATCAAAATGAACTTCTAACATAACTGTACATCGGCTTACTGTGACTTTTGTTTGCAGTGTGACTTCTAAAGATAATATAAGTTTTGATTGTGTGGATGTGAACCTGTTCTTGTTTACTTGGGTCTTATTAAACCCAGTTCTGAGTAAACATATACAAGATTGTGCCATCCCTAACTTATATGGGAAGATATGCTGATATTTATATGCTCTCCTTATTAGTGGCTTACATATGAAGATATAACTGGAAATCATCCATCTGTTATAACTATTTTTAAAACTTGAATTTATATCTAACTAACTGTCCCCTGCCATGGGTTGCTGTGGCCCAGTCTGTGTATATATGTTTGTGTGCGTTTATATGCATATATGTGTGTGTATATATTTGTGTATATGTGTATATATGTGTGTTTGTGTATATGTGTGGTTTTGTGAATGCTTTGTAATATTTTTTTTTTGGCTTTTAACGTCTCTTCTGTGTTTTTCAATGTTTTTATAAGTGATGGTCACTTGGCCTGTTATGTGTATTGTGTCCAAATTTGGTGTCAATTTGTCCAGTGTTTTTTGAGTTATGTTAATCCCACAAATGAACATTATATTTTTATTTACATAGATTGCGGTATACATGATATTTGTAAACATTAATCTCTCTGATTAATATATTTATTTATTTACAGTATTTATATACTGCCTTTCTCACCTTTGGGGGGACACAGGAGGTATACAGCCTTCTAGTGAATAACCTTTAATAATTCATTATTAATTTTGACCTATTTTAGCAGTCAGGTAATTGCTGATATTAAGAAATGGTTATCAGCTTTTAGATGTACTGTTTAGTTGACTGGTAAGATTCCAAGTTTCACAACGTATCTGTATGCCTAGTTTTACCTATCAAACACAGTCTGCTAAATCAGAGTCAAGATCCACAAATGTAATAGAGAAACCATTGCTTTCAAGCATCTTCAAAGTTTCTTCTAACATTAAATATTCTTTCAAGCATGAAAATATGGAATATAATAAAATCATTTCTTTTTTAATGCTGTACTCTGCTGATGAACTTGAACTTAGAAGTCTATGCACCTCTCACAGAATTTCAAAATGTTATTTTTTAACTACAGGGTCTTGCTCTACCCATATAGCATTTCTTTCCAAAGAAAGCTGTTAAAGAAATGAGTCACAAAAAGTGAAACCAAAGTGAGCAAAATTACCTCCCTACCACAATCTTCTGTAGTACAACAAATGGCTGAAGACTGAGAATAGTTGCAGGGATTGGCAGGCGGCAATTATATCAACTTTGCTTGAGAGCATAGTAATTTGTGGGGAGTTAGATGTAGATGCTGCATAATAAAGAACACAGTATTGTAGAAAAAAATATATTGCAGAACAAGATGCTGCATATCCCTTATTTAAAATGCTAGGGACCAGAAATGTTTTTGATTTTGTATACTTTTGGATTTTGGAATACCTGTATTTGCATATACGTACATAATGAGATATTCCAGAGATGAGACTCAAGTCTAAACACAAGATTAGGTGCTTTCAAAGATGGCTAACACCTCATCTGGAGAGTGGATAAGAAAAAAAAATTAAAGTAATGTATTCACACTTTTTGTATTCTCTACTTCAAGGTCTCTTGTCTTTTGTCCTATCTGCACTGAACAGGCTGACAACATTCAAGGTCTCAGGTACTTATTTTAAGGAGTGTGGATGGCAATTAGATGCAGGGCAGACATAAGGAAGGCAGTGACCCAAAATCCAAATATTCCTCTCTGACCTGATTTACCTCTTTGCTTTAGGTAACTATTTTGGGTAATACATATGGCTCTTAGATGTGCAGTGGATAAAAAGTAGGGAGGCACAGGTAAAAATGTACGAATATCACTCCTTAACTAATCTACCTCTCTGCCTGTAATTTTCGAATCTTTTTTCCCCTCCCCAATTGCAACCATGCAATCGGAAAGTAGTTTCTTTCCCATCTCTTCCAAACTTGGGAACATAACTATGCCACAGTTTGACTTTAACTGGCTCTTCCCCTGTTCTGCAGAGGAAAACTTTTAAGTGATTTATCTACTTGTTTATCCCTTGATCTTGTAGGATGGACAGATGACAATCAAACCGTTATAAATGTATACTGTATACACTACTCACACCCTTTTCACCTCTTGATTAAATCCTTTTGTCCATTTGTTGACATTTGTAACAATTGGTTTTCCTAGCTAATCTTTTAACCCTCCATTTTCTAGGGAGAAACCTACTGCTCTCTATTATCACTACTTATTTGGGATTGTATATATTTATGAATTCATAAGATAACCTTATGAATCTGCAACTTTTTTGGGATTCACATTTACAGCTAGTCCAGCTGTCCACATTACCCTGGAGTTTTGCTGATACTCCAGAGAATTCCCTGAAACTCCAGTGGATGTTTTAAACAGTTTTAAATTACGTTTTTAATTGATAATTCATTTAATATATTTTAATATTTTAAAATTATTGTTATTATTACTTGTTTCAAATGTATTTTATTGCAAACCACCCTGAGATTTATGAGCATAAGGAAGGATATAACTATTTAAAATCAACCAATCAATACAATTAATATAGTGTAGAGCAGCAGAAGGGAAATAAATAGTTTAATCTGTTCGATAGGGAAAAAAGTTAACCACTCTGAGATCATTGAAAATAGGGTGGGATGTAAATATACAGATCACAGCAACTAGGGAGAACATACTATAAATTAGACAATCCCATTGACAAGAAAACCAAACCATCTTACTCAGACCAAATGTGCCTGCCCCTATACATGTTCTGTAAACAGAGAACGTGGAACAAAAAAGGAGATGAAGGTTTGTTCTACAGTACAGGATTAATGCAGGTTGACACCACTTTAACTGCCATGGCTCAATGCTATGCAATCCTAGGATTTGTTGTGTGATGAGACATCATGACTCTGGCAGAGAAAGCTAAAGAGCTTGTAACTCTACAGTTCTCATGATGCCATAACTCTGAGCCATAGCAGTTAAAGTGATGTCAAACTGTATTAAGTCTTCAGCATGGATGCACTCTGAGGGCCCTTCCACACTGCCCTATATCCCAGAATATGAAGGCAGAAAGTCTTACATTATCTGAGTGTGGACTCACATAACCCAGTTCAAAGCAGAAATTGTGGGATGTTCTGCCTTGATATTCTGGGATATAGGGCTGTGTGGAAGGACCCTAAGGGTACAGTGAAGTCACACCTTGCTTCTCCTCCTGTATTCCTGATTCTGTGATAAACCCGACATGATTGGGCTTGGCCTCATGTTAGCCGCCCCAAGTCCCATTTGGGGAGATGGTGGTGGGATATAAATAAAGTATTATTATTATTATTATTATTATTATTATTGCATGGGGAGGGCATCTGAACCAACTGCTTAATTTTCTACTCCTTCAAAAATATGGGCAACTTTTTTTGTTACAATCATTCAAGCAAGGCCAGTGGTTCTGGAGGTCCTCAGTGTAGATTTATCAGAAACTTAAAGTTACTTCTCTGTCCAAGGGTACAGATTAATTGTCCAAGTATTTCCATATAGCCAACAGAAGACCAAACTTGCATCACCTACACTTAGGATCACATATGCTTATTTTTTATTATTTTATTCTATGCTTATGAAAAGAGGAAAACCAATTATTTCTGAGTTTTAGGAAGACTAGTACAAGCAGAATTCTACCCATGGAAAATAATACTAGATCTTTATTTCA